TTCAGAGTGATGATTCGATTCTCGGCCCCCCTCTGTATCCAGAAGAAAAGGTTGAAATAATGGAGAAACAACCTCGTTATGTTAATCGAATTTCAGTAACTTAGTTTCAAAGTTTGTTACGAAAAGAGGGCCAGTAAAAGGTGCAAACTTTGGCAAAGTTATTCTATTTGATCATGATAAGATAAATTTTAGTAGCTAGCTAATAAGAGAGTTTCATGTATTTTCAATGAGCCTTTGCTTTTTTTTGCTTTTGTTCCTTTCACATTTATGGTCTCTCTCTCTCTTAGTGTGAAAGTTTAGAATATTGGTTTAGAGAGTTTCCAATGCCAAACAGGGTGCTGGCCCTTTTGGGGCTGTAAGACATAGACACTGGATCAAAGATATGAAAGTACATTATTGTCTATGAGCACATGTAATAATCTTCATGGATTTTCTCAGTTAGATTCACAGTTTTTTCTCCCCCTATAAAAAAAGTTATGATTTACATGCCCATATATGGTATTTTAATTTTAAATAATAATATGGAAGTACAAAATTTAGGTAAGGGTTCAACTCATGGAAGTTGTTTGGCAGCATTTCCACCAAGTTAGGGGCACACCTAGAGAGAGTCAAAAAGAGCTAACAAAATAAGTAAACTCCTAGCTAACCAAATGAAGCTGGTTAAGCACCCTTCCAACAGCCTAACTTGGTTTGGTTATTAACCAATATAAATTTCATTTCAATTTGAATTTGAATTCATGACAGGCTCCAAAACCATTCAATTTGTGAATTTTTATTTTATTTTTAAAAGAGAACCTAACCCACTCAAAATTCAAAAAGCCAACAGGGGGCAGTCTCATTTGTTTGAGTACTATATACCCAAGGCTTCCCTTTGTACTTTGGAGGCATTCAGGGCCTTTGATTATCCGTCTACCAACTTTAACAGACACGGCCCTTGAAAAAATGAGCAAAGTAATGTGCTCATTGTTTAATGCAATACCAACTTTATGACTTGCAGCAGAAAATTTGGGGAAAAAACATTATGATCCAAATATTTTACAAGTTTTATATTCTGAACAATAGAAGGAAATCAAACACTTTACTTAGCTTCGAGATAACACTGCTTCGACACAATATGTCAAAGTGAACGCTTTCAATCACTTAAACTATAAATTTCTCGCCTAAAATCAAAGCTTCTTTATTTTTTGTTTGGAAAAAAAATCATATTTATGTGTTGTTTGTTTTAGGTTGTGTGATTTACTGAGGTGCGGTGTTTTAGGTGAAGGTATTGATTTCCGAGGCACTTAAAAAAATCACCGTTAGGGTTGCCGTGGCCGTGACAAAACCGGCGACAGCCTGTTATTGCGGAGGGTTTGCCTCCTTGTCCCATTGACGTGTCTGTTTTCCTTTTTTTATTATTTTCAAATTAATAAAATTACTTTTAAAAAAGTAAAAGGGCAAAAATGAAAATTTATTTATTTTCCCTTTTTCGGCTGAGACCGTTGATTGCGGTTGGGAATAAAGCGCTCTGACATCGGATATGGGGCCTCCCTTTTTTGACTACTTCTTTTTTGTCTTTTTTCTTTTCTTTTCATTTTTCTAATTCATTTATTTGGTTTTCTTTACTTTTGTAGTGTGAAAATTTATAGAAAAATGCAGCTAACAAAGAGGGCATCGTTTTAAGAATAAATTACAGGAAATGCCAAGTCGTTTTGAATCTTGTGTAAACATAAGTTCTGGTTTTTACCGGGTACTGTCGGTGGGCTTTTTTATGAAATGAATTTTCCAGATAGGAAAAATAAAAAGGAAATTAAATCATTAAATGGTGGTGAGTGTTGTTTGTCGGGTTGTCGGGCATTCGAATCCTGGTTACAGGTCAATCTTCTTGGGTATCATGTTACACGAACCAGGTGTAACCACGCCGCCACCTTCCTTGTCCTTGATATCCTTGCCATTTTACGATTTTGCCCCTTTCAAACTAGAGGATAGGTTATTTGGATTTCTTTAAGAGCATCTCTAAGGGAGATGTCAAATACCAAACATCAAATTTAAATTTGATGGCTGATATGACAATTTGACATTTACATAGTTTTACACTCCACCCGATATGTCAAATAAATAATTATTGTAACAATCAAATCATTTAAGATAAAGAAGAAAAAAATATAAAAAGGAAAATAATAAATGAAAGTAACAATCAATTATCTTTAAAAATAATAAAATATTCATTTGACATCTTGCTTTTGGGATGTCAAAAATAACATCTCAACCTCTAACCTTCATTCCACATCAGCTTTGACACATCGGTTGGAGATGCTCTAAGAGATATGTCAAATACCAAATATCAAATTTAAATTTGATGGCTGATGTGGCAATTTGAGATCTTACACGACTTTACACTCCACCCGATATGTCAAATTAAATTATTATTTTATTACATTTTAGTGTTGATTTCTTTTTAATTAAAAATAAAAGAAAAGAAAAAACGAAAAAAATATTCATTTGACATCTTGCTTTTGGGATGTCAAAAATAACATCTCAATCTCCAGCATTCATTCCACATCGATTGGAGTGATGTGAGATATTATTTCTAGCCGTTAATGTCTATGTGGCACTTTTGACACATCGGTTGGAGATGCTCTAATACAAGCGATATCAGAGAAATGGAGAATCGAATATAAAATTAGTAAATTTAGGTTTTAGCAACAAAAAAAATTTCACTTTTAGAAAAAGCCAAAACTTTTTCAAAAAAGACAGAAAAACCATTCAACTTTCAAATCAAAGACATGCAAATGTAAAGGATTCCTTAGGAAATCCAAAAATAAATAAAGGCAATTTTGTCCATTTTGGCTTCTTTTACAAAATTTCTCTCTCCTTTGTGTTTTTCCAAAGTCTCCCTATAAAATTCCGGACGTATAAACAAATGTTGAGTTTTTTTAATTTCACAAAGATAGAACGAGAATATTAGGATCAGTCGCGCACATGATCACATGATTAGTCGTTGTTGCGTATAAATCTCAAGTTAGAAACTTGAACTTAGTCATCTTTCACAAATTCACAGTGAAAATGTCACTTTAGCTTGTTATATTTTAAATTTTTTTTTAATGATTGGTCTAAAATGACTATATGATTACAAGGAGAGTTGAACTTTGTGTTGTTAGCTATAGGTTAGCTTAGGTTTTTCTTCATTTGAAATGTGACTTTTTTGTCAAAGGGGGAGAGAATGTGTCCAAGGGTAATTTTGTAACAAATAACTAGGTTTCTTCTTGCTAGAGAATGTGCCCAAAATCATTAGGTTTCTTCTTGCTAGTTTCATAAAACAAATCACAAGTGACATTTAATTTTCCAATAAAATCTGACAGTGATTTATCTATTCATATATATTATAAATAATAGAGAAAATATGTTCATTTGATTCATTTGAATGACATTCATATTCCCAAGCACACGGATATCCTACTGTAATAGAGACTTTCTGCATGGGCATACCATATACACAGCAAGAAATTAATGCAACACAAGTAAAATATTGAACAAGAGACGTCTTGTCCAATCTCCAAGTACTGTGGATGGATCTCCCTCTCTGTCCTCTACAAATATGATATGCTAATGCTAATGCTAATGCTAGCTCCTCCTCCTTCCTCACATGGATTCTTCAAACTTGACAGCAAACCAATTCCAATCTCAATCACTCACATTTCAAGCTAGCAAACGTGGTCAATACTTGTGTGTGTCCTTTTATATATTCATTGAACATTATGCAGATTTTCTGTCTGTGATAAGATTGGCCAATTTCTTCACCTCTAGAAAAACATTTGGTAAATCCTTTCCTCACGGGTAATTTACGTGCTCGTACTCGAACTATAACAAAATAATAAAATTATTTGTATCATATTTGTCGACCGACATCACTCTAATCAAAATTCAAACTAACCGGTTAAAATAAGTTTCACCCGTGTTGCTGTAAAAGTTTAACTTTATGCATCCCCATTCTCATAGAAACTAGCATATAGTTACATGACAAAACGATCGAGCGGTGACAAAAAGTACAAATATTCGCGGTAAGGAAAGTTCTAAAGATTGTTACGAAGACAAAAGACAATGAAGACATATTGGGTAAACCAAGTGAAATTTCGTTTTTCCTATGCAAATTATGCATCGAATTATGGACTAAATTATTTCATTAAACTTCACTAAGGTCAACATATTTTCCAAATCGCATGTTTACAGCCAATGAATCTCAGCCACGCAAGGAACCAAATCACACCAATGCCCACGCAGGTTCACACTCGAGTGGGCTGTCTTACCGGATAAACAGCAGGGGCAAAATGGGGAATTCAACTGTGGGACACAACCAGAGGACAGAAACTGAAACCCTTTTGACTCTTCCACTGCAGCTTCCTAACCTCTTTCTTGTTTTGGTAATTCTCAACCTCAGGCCTTCCCTCCAAACCCGCACCGAGTCTGTGCTTCTTAAACTAAATTTGGCAAAACCCTAATTTATTTATTTTTTCTCCTCACAGTCTCTCTCTGGTAACTTTTCCCTTCCACGCATACAATAAATACACACCGACCTTCACAGTGAAGACTCAGGAACACCCACATGACTCTGTTCTTTTATCAACTGTTTTCAGCCCTCGAAAAGAGAAATAATGTGAAGGAAAATAAAATAAACAAAATTATTAAAAATAAATAATTCCATGCCGATTTCTGGGCATTTGTACTTTTCCACTTTCAACAATATAAAGAGGCCCTTGTGCTCCTCCCTCTCTCCCAATCCCTACAAACTGTGCCTCTCTAAAGGTCTCTCCTTTTTTCAGTCTTCTTAGGAGTTGCTCTGTTTCTGTTTGGTTTATCAGAAATTTTAGCTGATAAACCATCCAACATTACCAATTCTTGGCCTTTTGAGCTTGAAAAAGGAACAACAGTTTCGGTTTTTGATTCACACACAGCTTCTGTTTTTACTTTAAAAACTCAACTCTGTTACTGTTCACATGGAGAAGTTTGTGAGACTCATTTCCATGGCTCCTCTGCTTCTGCTTCTCTGTTTCCCTCTTGCTTTAGCTGGCCATGACTATGGCCAAGCTCTGAGCAAGAGCATTCTCTTCTTTGAAGCTCAGAGATCTGGGCTCCTTCCAAACAACCAGAGAGTCACTTGGAGAGCCAACTCTGGCTTGTATGATGGCAAGGCTAGTGGGGTAAGTTCTAATCTTTTTACTTAAAAATCCCAACTGGGTTTATGTCAAAATTGCTCAATTAATTTACCCTTCTCAATAATTTTGCAAAAATTTTTACTCTTGGTTGAAATTGGATGAATTTGTAGGTGGATCTAGTGGGAGGTTACTATGATGCAGGGGACAATGTGAAGTTTGGGCTGCCCATGGCATTCACAGTGACAATGATGTCCTGGAGTATCATAGAGTATGGCAAGCAAATGGCTGCAAGTGGTGAGCTTGGTCATGCCATGGAAGCTGTCAAGTGGGGCACTGACTACTTCATCAAAGCCCACCCTGAACCCTATGTTCTCTATGGAGAGGTACCTTTCCATTCAAGTTCATAACTTTTGCCCTTCCTCCAACTCAAAAAGAAACAATTTTTTTTAAAAAGTTCTGTTAACTTCTGGTTTTAGTTAGCATCACTTGAAAAAGAACCCAAATTTTAGTTTTTTATTATTTGTTTGTGTCTTCCCTCCAATGGGTTTATTTATTTTTGATAAATGATATTTATTTGTAAAGTGATGTTAATTTTGTTGGTTGGTGTTAATCTGTGATTAGGTGGGAGATGGGAACACTGACCACTACTGCTGGCAAAGACCCGAGGACATGACCACTGACCGCCGGGCTTACAAGATCAGCCCGAGCAATCCCGGGTCGGATCTCGCCGGAGAAACCGCCGCCGCCATGGCCGCCGCCTCCATTGTCTTCCGCCACTCCAACCCCGCCTACGCCAGTGAGCTCCTCCGCCATGCCCACCAGGTTCGTCTTACACGTAACTTTTTTCCACTGCGTTTTTCTTACTGTTGTAATTTGGTCCGTTGGATTTAGAAAGGAAAAAGTGTTTTCTGAAAAAGACTGGTTGAAAACGTTTCTGTTGGGGGCCTGTGGGAACCACTAGCGTACGTTAGCCGATAATAAACTGCCCTAGTTAATAAGCAGTTATAGTTATCCTGCTTTTTACTGAGGCTGGTCGGCGTTACTCCCCAACGCACGCTAGCATCGTATTTATTACACAAAAATAATTACTTTAAAAAGTGATAATGGGTTAGGCCATTTAGCGAGGGCACGTAAGCCCCTTTTTTTGCACGCGAGTTCGAATATATTTTCTCGTATATTAGATTAATTTAGAATTCATTTGTATAAAAAATAAAGTGTGGCCGCGTCGTTTTGATGCCCATGGACTTAACTTGGGGTAAAAAGCTTCCGGTGCATAGTTTGGATCGTGGGGTACATTTTTGCCCGTCGATCACGGAGACTGTGTTGTTTGACCCCACAGATCTGTCGCACAATCAGGTCCTGGCCGTCCAGGACCGATCCATGAAAAGTGTGAATGTTATTAGCTCTTTCACGTGCGACTTTTGTCGGTGGCACCGTACCCCAACCACATTTACACAAACACCACCCAACTTCCTTTTGTACTTGCATAAATTCTATTCCCATAATACCCTCACTCTTTGCTACTAATTTACGTGAAACACCACTGGTCTTGCTCTCACACTACTGGCGCTTTGGTTTGTTATGCAGCTGTTTGATTTTGCGGACAAGTACAGGGGCAAATATGACAGCAGCATCACTGTGGCCCAAAAGTACTACAGATCCATCAGTGGCTACAATGTACGTTGTTGGGCCCAACCTTGGGCTTGCTTTTACATTTCAGTTTTTAGACCAGGCCCAATAAAGCCCATTCAATTTTTCTGATTGATTGTGTTTGAAATATGTACAGGATGAGTTGCTATGGGCTGCTGCTTGGTTGTTCCAGGCAACCAACAATCAGTACTATTTGAACTACCTTGGAAACAATGGTGACTCCATGGGTGGAACTGGTTGGGGCATGACCGAGTTCGGTTGGGATGTCAAATATTCCGGTGTTCAGACCCTTGTTGCCAAGGTAACCGACCCTTTAATCGGTTTATTTTTTAATAAAATCAACAATTGTCGTTCATGAGATTTGACCAGTTGGTCATTGGCATTATATGTATTATTGTAAATTGCATAGATTAAATTTATAGCCATATGGGAGCCAGCTAATTAATTGTTTTTCTTGCGTGACAGTTCTTAATGCAAGGTAAAGCAGGTCGTAACACAGCAGTCTTTGAGAAGTACCACCAGAAGGCTGAGTACTTCATGTGTTCATGTATCGGAAAGGGCAGCCGAAATGCGCAGAAGACTCCTGGTGGCCTGATTTTCCGCCAGAGGTGGAACAACATGCAGTTTGTTACAAGTGCCTCCTTCTTGGCCACAGTCTACTCCGACTACCTCACATCTGCCGGGAAGACATTGAATTGTGCTGCTGGCAATGTGGCACCTTCCGAGCTTCTATCTTTCGCTAAATCTCAGGTAATTCAGCCCGAAACAAGCTCTGATAAAATCATACAGAAGATTGTGACTTTGCGAAAGCATGTAATTTGATCATAATGATTTGTTGAAATCCTCAGGTTGACTACATTCTTGGTGACAACCCAAGAGCCACTAGCTACATGGTGGGCTATGGAAACAACTTCCCTCAACAAGTTCACCACAGGGCTTCTTCAATTGTTTCCTACAAGAAGGACTCTTCCTTTGTGAGCTGCAGGGGAGGCTATGCCACTTGGTTTAGCAGGAAAGCAAGTGACCCCAATCTACTCACTGGTGCCATTGTTGGTGGACCTGATGCCTATGACAACTTTGCTGATCAGAGAGACAACTATGAGCAGACTGAGCCTGCTACCTACAACAATGCTCCTCTTCTCGGTATATTGGCACGCTTGAATGCTGGCCATGGTGGGTACAACCAGCTCCTACCAGGTATATTGATTGTGATAATTGCTTCTAAAACTTTCTTGATTGAAATTTTCTTTTTGTAATGGCAATTGATTGATGTGTTTTTTCTTACAGTGGTTACCACCCAACCAAAAGTAGCCCCACTACCTAAAATCACTCCAGTTGCTCCAGGTATTACATGGCCTCTTTTTCTTGTCAAGGCTATCAATTCAACTAGCCCTAACATGAGTTGTTGGAAAGAGATCTAAAATGAGTTTCTTTTTTCTATTTTTTGCAGCTTCATCTTCTAGCCCAATTGCCATTCAGCAAAAGCTAACAACTTCTTGGGTTTCCAAGGGAGTAACTTACTACAGATATTCCACAGTAGTGACCAACAAGTCTGCCAAGACACTAACAAACCTCAAGCTTTCAGTATCCAAACTTTATGGCCCTATTTGGGGACTCACAAAGGCCGGCGATTCCTATGTTTTCCCATCATGGATCAACTCTTTATCGGCCGGAAAGAGCCTGGAGTTTGTCTACATCCACTCTGCTTCTCCAGCAGATGTCGCGGTCTCAAGCTACTCATTAGCCTAAGAAAGGAAGAAAACTCATTGAAACAAAGGAGAGAGGTTCACACAGTTTCTGGGATGGTAATGTAAGAATTGTGCAGCTATACAAATGGAGACCAGAAAAAAAAAAGGACTTTTTTTTCTTTTCCTTTTCAACAAGTACTTATGATTGGGATCTGCATAGGCTTTTTAGACGATGTTAGGTCAAATAAATATGAAGATTGGGGAAGAAAGGAGTGAAGAGACGGGTTAAAATGAGTGCTCATCCTCTTTCACCTCAACTTTCAGTAGAGTTATATAGATAGGTTTTGAGAGAGTAACAGTTGAACAAGTGTGAGGGTTGAGAGGGGTGAAAATGACTTCCTCTCAACTCATTTTCTAGAAGTCTTGTTTCTTTGTACTTCAAAGCAGCTTTGAATGTGTCTTCGTTTCCTTTTTTGTGTTGTGAATGTTGTAAGCTTTGCAACATTTTTAAATCTTTTGAATGGAAATATAGTTTGTGCCTAATCTTTTGAATGTTATTGTGTCTAATCTGTCTCATGTTTCGAAAGCCCAAGTCATTTTATTTTTTTGGGAAGGACAGCCCAAGTCATTTAGACATTGATCAACACCTGCCATGGTAAAAGGCCTTGTAATATATAATCACATCACAGTTACATAAGATAAAGTTTATTGGTGTAAGGGACTTGAAACTCAAGCCATTAAAGGTATTTACTTTCGCATTCGAAGTCATAAGTTGGATTTCCCCTCATCGAGTGTCGCTTGTATTATTAATAAAAAAGAAAGATGAGTCCAATGGTTATATCTTCTGTGACAGTCCGAATCTGACTATGTCAAGACAAACTACTAGAAAAGCCAATAAAGGCCTTGTGCGTGTGTTAGGCCCCCATTGTTGCTTGCCAGGAGTCTTGTCTGCGACCCTAACAACCTACCAATGAACTCTACTCAGGCAACGCAACGCACAGTAACAACAAATTTTCTTCCCATCTAATCTAAGCAAGGAACTCCCAAAATAAAGTTGCCAAATACACCGGCAGTTGCTGCCTAGTTCCAAGCCTTGTTACTATTGGGAAGAACTTAAGTGGAGTTGTTCATGTCACGTGACACTAATAACATTTTAGAGTGGAATTATTCATGTCACATGGTGTAAATATATTGACTGCGAGAATGGAATAGTTAATAAATAGTATATGTTGACTCGAAGTTTTAAAGTAAGTAATCATAAGAAGGATGGCATAAAAAGATTACAATTCACATGAAAAAAGCCACATTGACCACCTCACCTTTCTCATCTCCCTCTCTCCACCATTGAATTTCTAAGCTTAATTATGACTAAGCAAACAAAAATGGATTTTGAACCTTAAACGTATACAAACGTGACAAAAATCGCAAATTTTGAAAACTTGAGCTTAGTGCATGCTACAAAAACACTATGAAATATCAAATTTTTAAAACTTGAGCTTAGTAGATGTGAAATTTAACTCAACCAAGCTCAGCTACGATAACACTAATATTATCTTTACTGCCTCGCGCCAAAGCCAGCTGCGCCAGCAGCGCTGCCGCATTCGCCGGCGCCGCGCTCGAGCCGCTTATCCCCTCCGAAAAATGCCTCTTCGTCTGCGCATCCAGGCACCTCCTCACCACCTGGCACGCGCACTCATTCGTTACGACATCCCAAAGTCCGTCGCTCGCGATCACCAGAAAATCGCAGCATTCCGTCCTCTCGCTGATCGTCACCTCCGGCTCCGATATGACGTACGGCTTCAAGTAGTGGTCGCCTATCGACCGCGACGTCGCCAGAACTCCCAGAACGCGGTAGCCGTTCCAATTGATCACTCTCCCGCCCGCCGCCTCCACCCGCTCCCGCTCGTCAGGGAGGTCCGGGTTGTGGTCACGTGACAGGGGAGTCGCGACGCCGTCACGGCAGAGGACGGCACGTGAGTTTCCGGAATTGGCCACGATGACCTCATTTTGCCCCACCATCACCACCACCGCGCTGGACCCCACCGTGTTCCCCCAATTTGTGTCCGTATCGTCGTCGGCGGGGGTACTGCCGGATTCGCCGCCGACCTCCTCATCCATTTTGGTAAAGCACGCGGCCATGACCTTCTCCCAATCGACCGCTCCCTTGCCGCCGAGTTTCCATTGCTCCAGCTCCTGCTCCAGGAGGTGGTGCAGGCGGTCGTGGCAGGCTTTGGAGACGGAGGAGCCGCCGTGGCCGTCGTACACGGCGAAGAACTGGTACGAATCTACTTTCGCTAGGGAGACGGCGTCTTTCATGTTTCTCCGCCGTCCCATGACGGAGATGGAGCCGTAGGAAAGGCACAAGCTCCTTGTGAACATGCCCTCTTCCTCCTCCGTGCTTCCGCCGTTGGAGGAGTAGTGGCTGGAGGAAGGGTCGTGGGAGGAGGAAATGGCGGCGGCTTGGCCGGAAGTGCAGTCGGTGATGCTTCTCTGCCTCTTGTTCATGTAACAATCTTCGAAGCCAGAATCGATGCCTTGCGGATTTAACCTGTCAATGGAGGAATTGAATCGGGGGGGCTGGATTGGAGGGGTCAGTCCTCCTCTGTTTTCTTTTCATGTGTTTCAGGGTACTTACTCTGAGTTTGTGAGCTGAAACAGAGGAGGACTGAGAAAGTCTTTTTAAACAAGGGAAGGAGCTGAAATTGGGACGGTCGAGGAGGGGGAGGGTGGGCTGGATGGAGGACACGTGTTTGGGGGTTGAATGGGGAAAGGCGGTCTTGGTTTTTAGGGTTCATTCAAGGGTGGGAGGGGATTTTGATGACGGGGGTTTTGGGAGAGGGCAGAGGACACATTGTCGGCAGGGCTAAACCCCAAGGTGTTTGGGTTTCGGCGGTAGATGGTGACGTGGCGTTGTGAATTTGTAGAGAAGGAGAGGAGGAGGGCTCAAAAAAACACCAACCGGTGCCCTGACGCTGACGCCGCTACCACCTAAGCTACCTTTCTTTTAACTCTTCAACTTTTTCATGGCCAATTTGCTATTTTTATTTTTTATATTTGAATATTTGTTTTAAAATTGAGATGTCAGTCGGTCAAGTAAAGAGAATGTTTGGCCGGATGCCCTAAGTGGCTGCAGCAATTTGAACAACACGTAACTCTCGCAGGGCTTCAACCCTAAATACCAAATCACCACCCTTCATTGGTATTTTGGTATTTGGTCCAAATTTTCATATATATATATATATATATATCGGTCGTAGGGGCTTCGAGATTGCGCATGCTTTTGGGTGCTACTTTTGTTTGCACACTTTTGAAAATTTCATTATTTTTTTCGGCCTTTACCAAATACATGGAAAAAACACGAACTCTGTGGTATAATTTGGTTTTGCATGCACGTTGAGCATGACTAGAAAGCAGGCAGTAGCTTTTAAAGATGGCAGAAGTTAAAATTTGATGACAGATGATATGTCTTTCAGTGGGCGGGCGGCGGATGCCTAAGAGATAAAAGCTGTCTGGGTTCTTAATGTATGACGATCGAAAGAATCCTTTGAAGTTTGAACCAAGCAGCAGGTGGTGGTGTTGTTATATATGAAGCTGCATATATATATCTTCTGAGACATTACTATCTCTTGCCTGTTATAAGTGGTACAAGCTAGAGGTTGATTCTGTTGTCACAAAAACTTGTATGGCTCATCACAACTTAAATACTGACAAACATCACTTGGCTCTACGTTTCATTCATCATCATTTGGCATTTTGCATTTAGATATCAACAATAATTCATGTGTTATAATTGATTGAATTCTATATACCACACCATACTAAATACACACAATTATTTCTAATTGGTAAGTGTATGATGGACATGGACCAAGTACTGCGGCACGAGAAATCACCCATTTCATGCTTGGCTGACACAAACATGTGCCGAAGGGCGGTTATACGTTTTGGAGGTCCTAAGCGAACAACTTAAATGTGGTCTTTTACTTTCTATGTATATTTATGCGATTTTTTTCTCAATAAATTAAAAAAAAAATTATATAAACTCAAATTCATGATTATAACGTAAAAGAAAAAGGCAAGCTCTGTTTGTTAGTTTTGTGTAAATAATAATATATATATACTTTTCTTTCTCAGATGTATCAAGTTGCATTCTGAGACATTAAACTATTAGAATTACTATCTCTAGCATGTTATCATAGCAGAGGTTGATTCTTGGTCTCACTGGTCAGACTAAATTTCACTCTCCGTTGTCACAAACTTCATTTGACGATAACTCAAACTTAAATACTTGTGCCAACTTGTGTATCACTGACAAACATCACTTGGCTCTAAGTTTCATTCAATATAATTTCGAAATCGCCATTGACCAGGTTCCTTTCATTCCATCAAACAATTGTGCTAAACAATGAGGTTAGATTTCAACTTTTGCCATTCTGGTGACCACAAAATAACTCTATCGCATGCAATGGCGGAGCCAAGAATTCTATCAAAGATGGTCAACTTTAAATAACTTTATAATTACATTAAACTTAGTTTTTTTATAACAAAATATATTTAAGAATTCATTATAATGATTAAATTTCAATATCACAAATTTAATATCTTAGTAAGTATAACCCAAATTCTAGCAACCTAAAAATAATGAAAGAGTGTCAAAAGTTGATTTTAGATAGAATGAGAAACTCAAATAAAATCTATGACACACGCATATAAATGACATATGAAGACATGCAAACAAATATAGATCATATTCATGTTTATTGTAGATAACGTACATTTGCGAGAATGGTCAACAGTAAATATAGATATAAAACAATTTGGATAACATAGATAAATATAAGGTTTTCAAAATGTTGAGAAGGGTCAAGTGACCCTTCTGGGCCTTGATTGGCTCTGCCAATGATTGCATATGTTTTCCAAGGTGGTTATCTAACTCCTAGTTATTTTAGGGTCTTTCTATTAGTTTTTTCGGCTAGATGTTTGTAGATATGTGTAGATTATCGATATTTAACTCTATATTGTTTTGTCCTTGATGTTTTTGTTTGATTTTGTGGATCTACGTATCAATTGGTGTTTTGGGATCATGGAGTGAATGAGAGACAATATAACAATGTGTCAGAGTGGAAGTTGAGTGGTGTATATGCCCTTTCACATGGAGGTGTCTTCTATCCCAAGCTCTAAGAGAATCCTCATCTCTCACGTGTAGGACTGGCAATGGATCGTGTCATGTTGGGATAATAAATGTGTCAAGAATGCTCAACCCGAACCCGATCTATTTAATAAACATGTCGTTCGGGTTTGGGTCATCTTAAATAGGTTATTAAACATGTTACCTGGTTAATAACACGTTTACTCATTCCTAGTTTTTAATAGATTTGTACACTTGCAGATATTTATAATTAGATGATTAGCACATTAATTTGTGTCATTAAAAATAAAAGAAAATAATAATAATTCACATTAAAAAAAAAGGAGGAAATAGGGGACTACATTTTTTTTTTTTAAAAAAAAAAAAAAAAAAAAAAAAAAAACATGGCGCACTTTATGATTCCACAAGTCTCCTATGGATCTCCCCTATTGAGTTTCACATACTGCTTCTTGGGACTCATCACTTGAGCTTCCAAATATCACTTTCTTAGCTTTAGCAAAACTTGGATCTCATTGTGCACTTTTACCCGGTCGATCCAAGGCCTTCAGTTGCTTTTGCATGTCCTTAGAGTAAAAATCTACCATTTTGGATAGCTTTTGATTCTCTTCATGCAATATTTCAAGCTGGTGTTGTGTCTCCAACGTCTTTGCCCTTTCCCTTTTCAATCTCCTTATAGTACGCTGACAATCTTCAACCAAATTCCGTTCTATCACCAACTGAGCTCTTAGCACTTGCACCTCATGGGATTTCACAATGAAGCGATGACCGACACTTGCGAATGATGCCGCACGTTGCACGCTTAGTGTCATGACGTCACTTACCACCCGGTTATCATCTCATGTTCCCAGAACACGCACATCCCTAGGAGTCACCAAACTCATCGCAGCTCCAATGGCAACATCATTGTCAAGGAGTAATGAGTCGTTTATGGTAACTGGTCTTTGTGGGGAAGCAAAGCATCCACACTGATGCATCCCCTTGCCCCCATGTATGTGTTGGCGGAGCTAGGTTTAGATCGAGATAAAATGGGAATGAAAATGCCATTTTATTTCCGAGTTTGATGAGATAGGTTTAGATCGAGAGAAATGGGAAGGAAGAAAATTGGTGAGATTTTCATTTTCTGAGTTGTGATCTTGTGTTTTCCCCTTGTTTCCTTTTATAGACGAAAATGGGGGCCGTTAAGTAAAGTCATCCCTAATTTCTACCAGTTTTGCGGGGGCTGCTTGGGGTTTGTGCGAGACATGTCTCCGTAATTTCCTCTCCGTAAAGAGAGAGAGAGAGAGAGAGAGAGAGAGAGAGAGAGAGAGAGAGAAGGAAACAAAAAAAAAGAGAGAAGGAAACGAAAGAAGAAAAAAAAGAGAGGAGAGAAATTCTACTTCTTTAAAAAACAGTTTGTAGAAGCATTATAAATATCAAATGATGTAGCATATAATCACAAAATTGTTTGGAGCATGGTGGATAAGGTGTTGGAGAGGAATGAAAGTGGCAAGAGATGTAGCAGTTCTATGGATCATTTTATGTCTTTTAGTTTCTAGTGAGTTGAGTTTTTATTATGTGGAATTGATTTTGCTCACTCCCTTGGCATGATTTGTTTTGTTGGTATGTATCTTGATCTATTGTTTGTAAGAACCTCCTTTTGAGTTGTATTCTTTATATATAATGAAATTTCCATTTCACGTTTAAAAGAAAAAGTTATCGAATGCATTGATGCACTACGTGCCATGTTGAGCGCATGAAATATGCTCAAATTATGATGAGTCTTGATTCATAATTTGGAATTTCACATTTAGATATCAACAATAATTCACGTATTATAATTGATTGAATTAAGTCCAAAAAATAAAAACTTTATTGGAATTTGTAAAAAAATAATAATTTGAAAAACATATAATAAAAAATCCAGTAAAAAAAAACCATAGCATCAGAACCGATTTAAACCGGACCCATTGATTTCATAAATTTTTTTTCTCACCAAAAAATCGAGCACAATTTCTTAACTAAATTATTAAAAAATCGAGCACAATTTCTTTGACCTCAGACTTTCATTAACATCTCTCAGAAACACGTAGACACAAGGCAAAGAGAGAAGAATCAGAGAAATGGAGAACCAATTGGTGGAGCTTTGCTTACAAGCAGCCTCTGTAAGCAGGGATAGCATCGAGAAATGGCGGAGGCAGAGACGGACACTCGAGCGCCTGCCTTCTCAGCTCGCCGACTCTCTCCTTCGCCGCCTCATCTCCCGTCGCATCCTCTTCCCTTCCTTGCTCGAGTACGTTTCTCACTTTTTTTTTCCTTCTTCTGTTTGTTTCCCTAGAAACTCGTGTCTATTCTATTCGATTACTTGCGCATGGAAATGAAATGGGTTGTGGGCATATGGTGTAGATTATTCAAACACAACGTAGAGGAGCTTGATCTGAGAGGGGAGAGCTCTGTTGACGCCGAATGGATTGCATACATAGGAGCCTTTCGTTACCTGCGATCTTTAAATCTTTCTGATTGCCGTAGACTCACTACCTCTGCTCTTTGGCCTATTGCAGGTATTTCGATTTATGGCCTAAAATGTTGAAATTTTGATCAAGTTAGTGTATGCTAGCATTCATATAGAATTCTGTTTTGGAAAATGTCTTACCTTTTGAAGTGTTTACTGGGTTTGAATTAGGGCTGGAGAGTTTGAGGGAGTTGGACCTTTCTAGATGCTCCAAGGTTACTGATGCTGGCATTAGGCATCTTCTAACTATTACAACTTTGGAGAAATTGTGCATTTCTGAAACTGGTGTGTCTGCAAATGGGGTTATGCTTCTCTCTTCACTTAGAAACTTGTCTGTCCTGGACTTGGGTGGTTTGCCTGTCACTGATCTAGCACTGAGTTCTCTCCAGGTAAATCTAGTTTTCAGTTGTTTCTTTGTGCACATGTTTTTGAAACATTGATTGATTGTAGTTCTCAATACTTGATTATGATTACATGTTTATGGAATCAAGTGAGCTCAAATTTCCTTGTGATGATTGGTGAACCTCACGTTCAACATTATTTGACACTTGAATTTCTCTGACTGTCTGACTGTTTTTTGTTGGTATCCATTTGCTCGTCTTAGGCTGTCCCAGAAGTAAAGACATGATATTTGTAAACGTTGCATTTGGTTGAAACTGCTGTAGTATATTTTAATGTGGTTTGAATAAGGGAATTCGGCCCTGATATATTAGCAGCTGAACTTGATTTGTCTTTCTGTGCTGCCACATAGTTATCTGCTCGTTGCAACCATATGCGGTTCTTGATTTCATCCAATGTTTTCTATGCTGCGTTTTATAGAAGTTGCTTACTGGATATCTACATTCTACCCACCCTTTCCATTTCATTTCTCAACTTCATGTTTTGTAATGATTTTCCTCAGGTACTTACTAAACTACAATACCTTGACCTTTGGGGGAGTAAAATAACTGACAAAGGTGCTGCTTTTCTTCAAATGTTCCCTAACTTGAGTTTCCTCAATCTAGCTTGGACCAGTGTCACGAAGTTGCCAAATTTGTCATCCCTTGAATGTCTGAACATGAGTAATTGTACAATTAATACTCTACTTGAAGGAGATAATAATAAAGCTCCTTTAACCAAGCTTATTGTTTCTGGAGCTACATTTGGGGATGAGTTTGAAGCCTTCCATTATATTGAAACAACTTTTTTGACATTTTTGGATGTATCCAACTCTTCACTTCACAGATTCTACTTCTTATCTCATCTAAATTCTCTGGAACATTTGGATCTCAGCCGTAGTATGATAGGGGATGATTCCCTTGAACTGATTGCATGTATTGGAGTAAATTTGAAATATCTAAATCTTAGCCACACCAGAGTCAGCTCTGCTGGAGTTAAAACTTTAACTGGACATGTACCCAATCTTGAGTTTTTGTCAGTATCTCACACATCGGTGGATGATGTTGCCATTTCATACATGAGCATGATGCCATCTGTGAAGGTTATCGACTTGAGCAGTACGAACATTAAAGGTATGGGTTTATGATACAAATGCTAGATGCCTGGTTTTCTTCTGTATGCAATGATGAGGATAGAAGGAGGGCTTGAATAATCTGGTATCTAGTAAATAGGCTGTATGCTATTCTGTTTTCTCCATGTGGTTAGGTGCAATTATTTTGTAGTCCACTGCGTACATAAAAATGAACAGTTTTCAGCTGCATGAAATTGAGACATAATATGTGTTTTTCCTTTATCAGGTGTCATTCACCAGGTTGGGCCTGAGTCAGATCCAGTCCTCTCTCTGTCAGCACTTCAAAGTCTCCAACATCTGGGACGGTTGAATTTGGTAGATACGCAAGTTACGGAGGCAGCTCTATACCCTTTAGAAAACTTACAGGAGTTACGCGAGTTATCAATTAAAAGTGTTTCTCTTACAGACATCTCCTTTAACTATACGTCATCTATGCCAAAGCTCACAAATCTTCGCATTCATGATGGTGTTCTGACAAATTCTGGGCTCAATTCATATAAACCCCCCTTGACTCTAAGAATGATGGACCTGAGGGGTTGTTGGCTCTTAACTGAAGATGCAATCTTATCCTTTTGTAAAACTCATCCTCATATTGAAGTAAGGCATGAACTTGTTCATATCTACCCGTCCAAGCAGATTGTTTCTAATAGTGCATCTTCTTCACGATCAACTTTAAAGGCTTCACAAGCGAAGCAGAAGCCGGAAGTACCCGTGTTGCCATGCTTTTTAGGTAGAATTTATATAATATCAACATTGTTTTTTTTTGAAAAAAATGGCAGTAGCATATTTTTATGCATCATCTAACCTCATTCCTAAATTTTATGAACCAGATCAAAGATTGAAGTATAGCAGAGAGGAGCTACTTGCGCTACAGTATTCATCGGTATCCCGTGCTCCTCCTCATGATAGGGACGTTGTATTACCTGACACACAATCAGATTGAACCGGAGCAGTTCCGACAGTTCCATGCAGATTAGTTGCCATGCTTTTGCGCTTGTATGCTATACTTGTCTACCATCATATCTTATACTTGGTACACAATTGCACTGTCCTGTAAATCATAGCATAGCTAAGATCCTTTTTCTGTTTCTTTTCCAAAGATGGCCACAAGCCACTTTAGAAAATGAGATTGAGTGAGTCGACAATGTGATATATTGAACTGATAGATGTGGATGTGTAAGATTAATTTCCTGATAACAGAAAGCGACGTGCCGCTTTGTGGTTTGTCCTTTTGTATTTTCCATGTGTATGCCATATGACTCATATTGTCTTATTGTTTTGAGATCTTTCGTCTTGAGGAACATGTTGCCCCATTGTTCATCCTTTTTCTCTAAAACTTTTATGTGCACTGGATGTGTAAAAGGAATTCCCTTATCATCGGCATGCTTGTGTCGAAATTTCTAACATTTGGCCAACCTTAAATTCCGACACCCTAGGCCAGAATTGTAGAATTATTTTATTTAGCTTTTATTTTCCATTTTTGTTATAGAAACCAACAAGTCAAACTGCGGAGCTAGTCGTCAAAGCCAAAAGACTGATGGATTAAGTCGAAAAATATAGTGGTTGGACATTGGAATTTTATTTTATTTTTATAAATACAAGCGATAAGGATAGAAGAATTGAACAAATTTTTAAAAACAAACTGATGTGCCAACATGACAATTGCTTATTGGTTATAAATAAATGGTGTTTTTTTTTTTTTTTTTTTTTTTTTTTTTTTTTTTTTTTTTTTTTTTTTTTTGATTCAAATAAATTTTAATTGCATTCATAATTCAGCCAAAAAAGCTACTAGCCACTAAGGGTCAATGCAAACTAGCCATGGCCATTACAATAATGGAGCGCTCTAATATCAAAATTAAGGCAATCTAGTGAGTCTCCACTAACGATCAGGCAGGATCGAAGAAACTCTGGCATAGGCATCTCAATTAAAAATTGCAAACTTAGAATAATAAAAAAAGATAAAGCTTGAAAAAACCAAGCCATAACAATACAAATAAAACTCTCATAAAGGAGAGATGAAAAGCTCTCACAAAGGAGAGATGAAAAACTCTCACAAAAGGAGAGGTGAAAACTACACAGAGAACCCAAAGAGTCTCTGCAACTTATTCCAAACATAAAGAGAAAAATCGCAGCAAATTGATCAAGAGAAAAATCAAAGTGAATGGTTTAGCTCATTTGCATAAAACATATATCTGTAGTTTTCTAAAGTACATCCAAATTCGGTACACAAATTATCAGGTGTACAAATAAGCGTATGTACAGTCACAAAATAAACTAGAATTGCGTTTGTCAAATTGAAAAAGGTCTTCAGGCTCCTCAAGTAAATCTTTCAGGAATTAGGGCTTATTTTGCACTCTTGTACATGTTATCAATGATTTCCTGTGCATAAAAAAAATTTCAGTCAGCACTTTCACCCAAATCAATATACTTTTCTATTTGTAAGAAGTAACCAAACAAACAATTACTCATAGAAACTAATCACTGTATAAGCGTCCATTAATGCAGTAATCCATGCAATAAAGACTTTGAGCAGAGAACAACGATTAGAAATGAAGGCATAAGGAACAATTGGCAACCTATTGTGTAACAACACACAAATTAATGGGAATTTTCGTACATCTAAACAGATGATGATCTATGCAACAGGGACAACAACTATTACAGTCTTTCCCATCCTGGCTTCATGTGTCATAATGGATAGACAGGCATAAACCATGTATTGACACAGTCACTGAACATAAGTAATGTTAGGTCCTTATATCAGATACCGTGCGAAGCTAAGAATATATTTTAACTGTGTCAATGTGATGCCGAAATTACAATGACTGTAGTATAAATCAAGTGGTGTAGATCAGATTACCATAGTGGTACAGGTGTGTTAACCACACCTTTCACATTACGTGCATTGTTAATACAAGTATTTAGAAAAATTCCTAGAGGAAACAGGATAAGAGGTACCTTATAGTATTTAAGCAACTGGGGTCTCTTCTTCTTGTATGTTGGAGTGATAAGGTCACGCTCCATGTCAAATGGTTCTGGGTCGAGATGAACAGCTTTTATAACCTCAAAGCCTTTCAACTGCCACAAACAACACAATAGAATCACAAAAAGCTTCAAAAGATTTTCCAACAGCCAAAAATAAGTGTGGCCCATGACTAAACATTTAAGGTACTCAAATTGAGAAAGCAGAAACCTTTTTCTCTTTAGCAATCTTGTTGAGCTCTCCAAGTATGTATTCTTTCACCCTTGTATGTTCACAGAGAGAATTGAAATCACCAGATACACCGTTTTTTTCAGCCCAACTTTCAATTGCTTGGTTGTTAGGATTAACTACTGCGATCAGGAAGGACTCAAAGCTGTTCCCATAAACCCATATCTAAATTTGACCAAAACAAATTAAAAATCATCAGACTAAGTATAAATTCATATCAAAATTGAGAGAATGAACTCTTAAGCCATCAGACTAGTGTATCCTTCCAGCAGCTAAAACAACTCTCTTTCTCTTTCACACAAAGATAGCTGACAACCTTTCAAGCATAATATTGCATTTAATGTATGTATCAATTTATCACACAAGTCATTATATCTAGAAGAACATTTTCTATTTAATAAGGTGGATGAGAATGAAAGGCAGAAATAAAATATTTTTGAAATATAAATACAAAAGAAGAAAGGCATACCGCATCGATATCAGAAACAAGTCCATAAATATTCTCCAAGTTTTCAACTGCAACATATTCTCCTTGTGAAAGCTTGAAAATATTCTTCTTGCGGTCAATGATTTTCAAGCTTCCATCTGGTTGCCACTCACCAACATCACCTGATATAAAGATAATTTTAGGCAAAGTTGAATGTTTCCAATCAATGACATGAGAGCCATACCATACTACAAAATACATCAATATGGACAAACCTGTATGGAACCACCCATCGATCATGACCTCTTTGGTGAGGTCCTCACGTTTGTAATATCCTGAAAACAAAGTGTTTCCCTTTACACATACTTCTCCACGTGGTGTATCTGAAAGGGCATCGTACCCCATTTCAGGGACAGATTCTAGGCATACATCCACATTTGGAACTGGAGGACCCACTGTGCCAAGCATTGACAGTTCATTTGGCAGTGACACAAACGTACCAGCACAAGTTTCTGTCAGACCTGCAGTAACGTTGATATGGAAAAGGCTATCAATGTAAAAGCAATGCAGAAAGACTCAATAAAGCCATTGAGAAAATGAAAACTAGCTTTTATAACCCTGTGAAAATAACTATTGAAGATAGCTTTACCATATCCTTGTAGAACATGAGCGCATGCCACCACTCGTAAGAAAGTTTCTACATGAGTAGAAAGAGGAGCAGCTCCAGACAAAATAAGCCGCACCCTACCGCCCAACCCTTGCTTTACCTGAAGTTGTCAGAGTATTAATGAGACTCAATTGAGTAAGCAGAATAGGAACACAATCATAGTTCATATCAATGAAGCATGTTGAAGGGGAAGAAAAAGAAATATTTCACCACCTTACTAAACACAATTTTGTCAGCAATTGGAGAAGCATTCCCATGTGCATGCCCCTTTTGCATGTTATGATACTTGCTGCAGAAACAGAGAAACACAAAAGGTTGTAATAAAAACTATTATGTTATCTACTGCCATTAAAAGCATACGTATTTGATCTTTACTTGGAGCCTAAATTTCAAGTAGGGGTAGGGGTAACTAAATTTGCAGCAAATCCACATGTTGTAGTATATGCATAGCAAACAAATAGATAAGATATTTTAGGGAAAAGAAATAATTATCCACATGCAAGTATAAAATATCTTGTTTACAAAGTAAGAAGCATATGGGAGTAAGGGATAAGATCAAACACAGATTTAAGCTTGTTTTCTCAATAAACACGTGCACAAATTCAATAATAAATTATATTTTACTAATTATCATAAGCAAAGAATGGCACTTACTATGAATATGCAAAATTGAACATTGTCTTTTTCACGATACCCCCTGTCGCAATCCTCTGTGTCAAGCCTGGAAATGCACATGGCAATTATAGAGCGTAATAGTTGATATAGTAAATTATTGTGGATTCATTTGATGATATAATTGCATCAATGAGTAAGAAGCCTCAATTCCGTGGCTAAAATCATGCACAGTCAAGCAGTACCTGCGTAGATCCTGTCTAATACACGAGGAACAGCACAGAAGATGGTCGGTTTCAGCTCCCCAATGTCTTCAGTCAATAATTTGACATCCTGCAGAATAAGAAATAAGGTAATATCAGGTTTGAATTTACGGTTAGAGAAGAGCAACGAGTAATTGTACTCACCCCACGCCAGAACCCTATTGAGGCGCCAGTCCAGATAAATAACTCCTCAATCACACGATCGAAGATATGTGCAAGAGGAAGAAACGAAAGATATACATCCTTCTCGCTCAACTTTTAAAATGAAAAAGAAAAATATTTTGTAAAAAGTCAGCATCCTTAAAAACGAAAGTAAACAGCTCATGTTCTCACAAAATAAGATATGTAAGTTGAGAGATGAAAAGGAAATCACCTGTTCATTTACACTCTCTAGCAAGCGCTTCACCCCTGCCAGAAGTGTAATGATGCTATCATTGGATATCAATACTCCCTTGGGGTCACCAGTTGTTCCACTAGTATACATTATAGTGCAGATATCACTTTTCTTTTTTACTGGAAGATCAAAATCTTTATTATCTCCCTGCAGGAACAGATCTAAAACTTAAACCAGAAAAATGAAAATTACTGATCTTCTGGAAATCTGTAAATAACCAAACTATGCACGAAACACGACAATTACAGCCAGACATCCCTGCCTTGAATACAATACACATTATCTTGATTAGAAGTTTGGCAATTCCACACAGATAGAGAAGCACCATTTGCAACTTTTAAACCACGTTCGGCCGACTGAAGGGGAGTACTTCCATTAAAAAATTCACAAATAATTTCTTCATAATAGTGATCTAGAGGTCTTTGTCCTTTTCATTTCAGATAAATTTCTTTGGTTCACCAATATGACTTATTACACGAGAAGAGGACTGGGAGATCAGATAGAACAACCCACCAGTTGCAGAAACTCATTCCAAGAATATAATGCTACTCCATGCTTCTCAAGTGTTTCCTTTTGTTCAGGTGTAACCTTGCCAAAGCTCACAAGTGCTACATGATTAAAAGAAGAAAAAATAAAGAACATAAATAAGTTATTTTACTGACAACAACAGACACATACCAAGGAATCTTGAAAAATATGAGAAATATGCAGCAACTTACTCTTCAGATGCTTAGCCGCGTTAGGAAATGTTTTCAACAGCTGAAAGAGAAAAATATACAGTACACATAAGAGAACCGGAATGAGCAGTCAAAGCTTAAAAATGCCTTTACTCTCAAACCAACTAGCATTTTTTAGGCAATGATTGTCAATATTCGACCTTTGTTGTAAATATAATATGACAGCAGTTTTCTCCAATGTGCCACATTAATACTGTAGTAAGTAATACAATTGTTGATATAAAACTCATGTACCTCAGGTATCTTCTTTTCTTCTGTAAAAGCAATTGAAACTTCAGCATGGCAAATGATAAATTCCACAGCACCAGCACCTAAACCAAATATCAGAGATTAGAAAAGAAACATATAAAACAATATTTCAAAAATCATGAATTGAGAGTTAAGGTGAATGCACCACAACTCATATCAACCAAGCCTTGAACCCAGCTGATTGGGGTGGGCTACATGATAAAGAAGAGATATGCCTACCTAGAGTGTCATATAAAGGCACACAATAGAGTCCATGAGCATTGCAAGCCTGCATAAGATTTTCATTTAATATTTCGGACTGAAGTGTAAGATTTATATTATTAATAAAAGGTTCCAAGAACAACGGACATTTATGTAAAAATAACCAAATGAATGAGCTAAGATTCAGAGAATGTGCACGCCCAAGCAGAGATACCAAACACGAAAGATATTTTTCTCAATGCAAACTCATAACTTCAGAATTCAAGATGATACCACAATGGACAGTGAGGACCGTTTCTTTTTCTTTATGAACCATATCAGTGGAAAATGGGCAGTAACGAAACAAAATAGGGTGTGAAGATCCTACCTGCTTGATCAAGTACACATTTTTCTACCGACTGATGGGTAGGGTAAAAATGGAAGAATTTACAAAGGATAATGAAAATGGAAAAAAGACAGCATACCTCCATGCTCATAATCCATTCTGGGCAGTTGACACCATATATACCACATTTGTCTCCCTGTAATCCGCCATAATTACATTAAATTATACTGTTTGCATAAATTGCATGGGACAATATTTTGCAAAGTATTGAATAAAAAAATAAAATAGCCAATGAGAACGATGATGACATACTTCCCCCACGCCACAACTGCGAATGGAATTTCCAATTTTTACTACCATGTCATATACTTCTTTATAAGTTAGCCACTCATATTTACTGGCCTGCAAAGAGACAAAACTTCACAAATTAGCTACAAGCCAAAAGAATTAGCTAGAAAGCAACCTATGGCAAAGGATAGACATAGCTTGTCTATGAAATTACACCTTCCCGTTCACAATCTCCCGACGACCAAGCATTGGGTTTCCAGGATTTTTCTCCACTGACAAACTGCAAAATAAGTAAGAAAACTTACAAACAATAAAAATTCATACATAAAATAACTTTGTATTCAATTTTCTGGATAGATCAGAGTTTGTTAAGCTGTCTTAGAAAAATTGAGCCAACCCATATCCAGAGCCAAGCAGAGCTCTTTAACAAGCATGGCCCAGAACCATACTTATTCACTTAAGCTGCCGGATTGAAAACAGAGCATGTGATGTGTAACTTAGCAATCATTTTGCATTTTAGTATCACAAAAACAAATTTTTTTACTTTGATAATTTTTACTGCAGCACTCAGAGGTTGGCCAAGACTGAACTTATTGCATTTCTTTTCGCATTGATCACGCAATAGAATTGTCTCAGACAATTGTTTTTTTGTGCGAGTCAAAGCCACAAACTTCACAACCCCAAAAACAAATTCATCCACAATTTGACACAAAATTCTCTGAAACCCCAGTAGAAAGATCGTAATCATGCTCAATCACCCATAAAAATAGTCTAGTAAAAACGAAATTCATTCGTAAAACCAAATTCTAAATACTCGCAATTCAGAGTCCGATAAAAACAAAGCAAAACAGCTCAGTTGACTTATTTTACTTTTTTTTTCCTGAACTTAAAAAATTTGCATCAAACAACAAACTGCCAAAGCAAAAAACAGTCCTCATTTAGTTTCTTTCGTTTTCTTGTGCTTTCTAGGAAACCAAGCAGGAAATTCGGATAAAAAAATTAGTACCGGAAAACATCCCAGCAACTGTCCAATCCAGGAATGGGAGGCGGAAAGCCATCTTTAGCGAACAGGCTTCGATACACAGGTCCCTGCGATGGCTTCCCGTCCTTAGCCTCCTTCGCCTTCTCCACTTCAATAAGATACTTATACTTCGTTGCCGCCATTATAAAATCTCAATCGGATCGTACCGACCTTCCTTCCTCCTATCTCTCTCTATACGAATCTGAGAATGAGAGAAATGCGAAACTTAAAAATAAAAAACATATATAAAGCAGTTCGTAATAAATATTATTTATGTGGAAAAATAGTCAATAAATATGGGTGGCATGGCAGCGGGTGGAATGGAACGACGAGGAGTGGCTATTTTGGTAAATTGACACAGAGTTTATGAGGCTACCGCTGGCAGCTGGTTTTTTGACTAGCAGACGAAGACGAGTCACTGACTCACTGAGTCCTAAATAGGGGAGGACCACTCGCTTGGATTTTGGCCTTCTGGTTTGTTTGGTGGTAGTTGTGTTTCGAGTCTTGTGACACAGAGTTCAGAGTTGATTGTGTTATACGACTGGTCAACAGTCTCAACGGCTCTGATTTTCGGATTTTGATCTTGGTTTGTTCGTGGCCGTCCGATCTTGTTGTATTTGATGCGTTTCTTTCTTTTATTGTCGTGTAAATGTTAAAGTCTTTTTATACGACAGGAAAACTTTTGCTCCAAACAAACATTGCCGTGACAGTCAATCAGAGTATTTTCTGGATTCTAGACTCTAATTCAGAACATTTTGAACTAATTATATCAGACTTCTTTATATTTCATGGCAAATTCGAGGTTTACTAAGCTTACATTTTACTGCAAGTGAATTAGAGGGAAAGTAATTTCCTGCTATGTGAGACAGACATATTACCAAGAACAAGATCAAATTTGTAGGATTCGTTTTTTTAATTTGAAATAATTAGAAGTTAATCTATGATAGGCTAAAGTTAAAAATTTGTAGAGCAAGTTTTCGAGATAAATTTGCTTCGTCTAACCATTTGCTCATTGTTAAATTGCTTACATTTAAATGCGCACATTTAAACATGAAACGAACGCAATCTATATGTACATATATATAACCAAGTAATTTTAGATTACATTTGTGATTTCATATTATCTAAGTGACCCAACACATGAGAAAAGTTCGTATATGTAAATAAATTCTTGAAAATCAAAGTCAATGTGTCTCAATATATATATATATATTCTTTTTGGACCATTTCCTTAGAGGAACTTTCTCTGAAATTTCTTGTGATCTGGGTAGTAGATCAATTCTAGAAATTGGTCGTTGTTCTAGAAATTGAAACTTAATTAATTCTATAGCATTTCAATTCAAGGAGTTAATGCATGTCCACATACTAATTTATACCAATCCTAGCTTATCAGGCCATCTATCTCTGTCTGTAATTTTCTAACTTTCTTAATCCAACTGAATACGTCAACAAAGGGCAATGCATTATGCATGTAGGTGAACCACTCAAGCTCCTCACCCTCTTTTCTGTTTCACATTTTCTTCTCAACCCAGAGAAAATCCCTCACACATTTTCTTTCATTTTAACATATTTCTAATATCGGACAATGGTCGAGATTAGAAATATGTCACAAATCCTTAACATAAAATATTTATTGAAGAATTTCTATATATATGTATTATTTTATTTTATAAAAGTTGTACAATTATTTAATAAATATGCATCAGCAATTTGATACTTAGCCAAACCTCTATAGACCGGCGGGAATTAAATACGAGATCCATGCTTCTGTCAATAATACCATCATATTATTATATGCAAAATCAACATTTAAATCAATTAATTAGGTTTGTGATTATCACTAATTTTAAAGATTTTCCCCATTTTCTTTGACATTGTAAACTCATTCATTCATTGAAAAGTATTTGATTATATTAATGTCCACATGCCATCAGCAATCCAAAAGTCTAAAAGAAGGCAACCAACAAGAACTAACAAAAGATATTGATTTTACTTTTCTTATTAAGCAAGAAAGCACCTTCTCATCACCGAATCATACTTGTGTATATAGTGGTGCTTTGCTTCAAGCTCGAGATTTTCCCAACCAAGTGAAGAAATAGTTACTTGGTTATGTTAGTAGTTAGATGAGGTGACTATTGCGACTCTATTTTTCTCTTTTTATTTGGTTGATTGAGTGTTGAACTTAAACATATGATATGTTGCTTTATCATTCTTTTTAAGTAGTTGTTTATCAAAGAATTGGTTAGTTGGGATTAGATAGAATCGGGACGGATTGTAGTCATAATAGAATCACCTTCTACTAAGAAAATTTGTAAACCACATATTCAAACATAACAATCAAAATATTAGCCTAATTTAATCGAAATAATTTAGTGAAAAAAGGTCTTGATTTTCAAACTAACGATCTTAAATTCGAATCTCTATCATACCTTGACAATATGTGTGCGCGAAAACCCTCTCTCCTTATAATTTAAATTATCACTTGTATTATATATATATATAAAAATCCACCCACCCATCTAAAGGTGATCCTTAGGACCTACGGCTACATGAAGAGGAGTCATGATGCCATGCACCGCACAATTAATTGCCGAGTCGTTGGCCAACGCTAAAATGTGGGCTACTATCATAAAAAAAAATACAAATAATTTTGTGGGACAAAGCTAGTTTGGGCAGGAGAGACATGGAACTTGAGCTACAAAAGACAAGCCCTTTATTGTGTGGCCATTGTAGGGTCCTTGCCTAATTGCCTCTATATAACTGTGGCCCCTATCCACCCTTGGCAGTAGAAAAACTTGTATATAACGGGATAACATTGTTTTGTTATTTCTTATCAATTACAGATTGTTATGTGGAAAAATTATTATGGGTAATATACCGTGATTGACAGGAAATAGCAAAATAGTGTTATCCCCATTTCATATAAGTGTTTCTCCCTTGACAAATAGTTGCATGATAAATTCCTAGATAATAAATTTTGAGTGTTGAAATATCTACTTCTGGTTTGCACTTTCATTGCTACATCAAGATAATAAATTTTGTGAGTTGAAATATCTACTTCTGGCTTGTACTTCCATTGTTACATCTTAGAGCATCTCCAAGTGAGATGTCAAATACCAAACATCAAATTTAAATTTGATGGCTACTGTGGCAATTTGTCATTTATACAGTTTTACACACTACCCGATATGTCAAATAAATAATTATTGTAACAGTCAAATCATTTAAGATAAAGAATAAAAAAATAAATGAGAAAATAATAAATGAAAGTAATAGCCAGTTATCTTTAAAAAACAATAAAATATTCATTTGACATCTTGCTTTTGGGATGTCAAAAGTAACAGCTGAACCTCCAGTCTTTATTCCACATCAGCTTTGACAATTCGGTTGGAGTGATGTAAGATGTTATTTCCGGCCGTTAAATGTCTATATGACACTTTTGACATATCGGTCGGAGATGCTATTAGGACGGATTAAATAAGAGTTCTAAATACCTGGCTGGCTCAACGCGCGTAAAAGCTGTAGCTAAAGGTTTGAAACTGATGAATATTTTGTTAGTGTAGCTTCTATTGCACAGGAAACATCGGATTTCCAACCTCTTCTATGACGATTTTGCCCTTGACGAAACTAATAAGTAATTCGTTTGGGCGGAAGTGTCATTATACAGCATATCTTAAAAAGTAAACGTCGAGTTGGATAAGAGTCTCCTAGTCTAGGCTAGGGATAAAAAGTTGCAGGCTTTTTATCACAAAACGTCCTTGACGTTTGCAAAACTATCATATTGCATCCTTAAAGTTTTTTTTTGTATCACTCATGGTCTCTAACGTTAATATAGGTGCTCTTAAATAGTCATTCTGTCAAAAAAAATTGTTAAATCCAAGGATATAATTGTCAAAATCAATCCAAAATTATAAAAAATGTATATAAAAAATCAATCCAAAATTATAAAATATATATAATTTAGTTTCCAGCAAATTCCAAGTAGCCACTGGGATTTTAGGCCGTGGAGTTGACCTCGTGAGTGTAAGATAGGTAATTCTGTTTGACATGCCAAATTCCATGAGGGAGTATGTCCATCAGATTGGTAGGGCATCTAGGTTGGGAGAAAAGGGTGCAGCAATTGTGTTCGTAAGTGAGGAGAATAAGAACTTGTTTCCAGATTTGGTTGAGATTCAATGATCTTCTGGTGCAGCTATACCTTGAGAGCTTGTTAATTCACGGTATATGGCAGTGGCACGCCCATACTCCAATGGTGAAGGCCAGAAAAAAAGGAAGCATGAATGAAAGGGAATAACATAAAGGTGAGCATTGAAAATGGAAGGGAATAACATAAACAAATTGAACTCTAAAAACCCAACTGCTGTTTTGCCCAAAAATTTGAAGCTTTTTCGTCACCAAAATTTTTTAGCGACAAATATTCATCAGATTTTTCGTCGCTAAACATTTTCTACGACGGTGTTCTTCAGATTTTTCGTCACTAAAAAAGTCAAATTTCCTAATCAACTTCAAACTTATATATGCCTTGGGCTCTGGCCAATTGCGACAGATGTTCCAAATTTCCTGATTTTTTGTATTTCCCCTATCCTGGTTATGGTTACAGGTTCCCGATCAGAAAAGAAGACTTGATTTTGTGATGCGTAAATATGTAAAAAAAAATTTGCTACCGAGTCTTTTGGCAGTTGGAGGCAACCCCAATGTATCCATTATACAAGGGTAAGTTCCAGGTTTCTATCTTTAGTTCAGTTGTTTCCTGATTTTATTTGCATGCTGTTTCACAAATTAGACCAAAATAATAACACATACATATCATCACATGAGCTGAGAGCATTGATCCTAGGAATACAAATAGAAGTAGGTCTGGATGACGATGACTCTGCAGCAAAAGTGATGGAGGAATTTGATATCTTTGGTGATTCTCAAATAGTTGAGACAGAGTTTGTCAATCAAATCTCAAAATGGATTAATCCAGCTAAGCCCTCTGCCAACTATAACAGTCATGAACATATATATTATAATTTTAGATTGATTTGACGATTATATCCCTAGAATTAACAGTTTTTTTTACAGAGGGACTATTTAAGAACACCTATATTAACGTTAGGGACCATGAGTGATACAAAAAAACTTTAAGGATGCAATCTGA